TTTCTTAAATTTACTGGCCCAATTACACCAAGAAGAGATGGATTCTAAGAAAATTGTGAAACACCCCTCTAAAATAAATTTCAACAATGCCGATCGGATGGTAAATAAATTAATTTCATATAAACGGTATTTGGCTATTTTCCACACTTGCCCAAAACGCGGAAACGCTTGGTCTTTGCGTTGATCAGCAAACAGTTGTATCTATTTTTGTGCATTTCTAACTAGAACTGCAATTGAAAATTAAATTTTTCTTTAATGAAATAAACTTGGTTTATATAAGTGATATATGTACTAGATCCTACTAGCCTATTTTCGATAATAACGTGTAATCAGACGAAAGTGTCTTTATTGGATGGGAAATATACCTTACCTCCCTTTTCGGAATATATATTTCTGCAAAACTTCACTATACAATGAATGGCATCTTGTATCTTAAGCCTCACAAAGACTAAAACTAACCCCCTGAAGACCGTCGGCATCTGCCTAATAGAGTGGAAATTAAATTTTAAGATTAATACATTTTCATCTAAGGGAGATCCAAATTGTAGATGAATATTGCATTTTTATATGGGTTGAATAATCGAAAATATTGTTACAAGTACAATTTTTACTACCTTTACCTCTTAGACAACATATTATTTTGGTTTATAAGTTCTTTAAGTCATAAAATATCCTCGAATATGAATTGCAAACTGGTTCTCCGTGCAATAAACACAAATATATATATTAAAAAAACAAGTAAGAGGTTCTAGTCGGGAGCTCCCGACTAGGGGATACCCTGAACCCTCTTATTCCAACACCAAATAAATTAATAAAAAAAAGTTCCCTTGGCAGGGCTCGATTTTGCAACTGACCGCATTACTTACTGTCGTCTCTACTCAACAGCCACACCAGCAAAGAAAAAAATAATAATGCTTTCCCCGGTAGGGCTCGAACTCGCGACAGACCGCACCATTTGCTATGCCTCTACTCAGCAGCCACAGCAACAATTAAGTACTTATGATAAAAAAGGAACTAAAATAACATTACAAAAAAAAGATGCAATTACCATGCTATTAGAATGCGAAGCAGACGCGCATGAATGTGTGTGTGTACATGTATACAGAAATTCTTAAAGCTGCTGCCCCATTCAATTGCGCAGTTGCATATAACTTTGGTTTTTCTTAACCGATCATTATGAAATTTTCTACGTATATCTTATTGTACCATAGAATATTTGTGTATTCTGAAAAAATCAATTGAATTTAAATTGTGGTTTAAATTGGTTGGCAATAAAAGTTGGGTTATTAACTTGATTTATAGCTCTGTGGTGGTAGCGGGGAGGTGGTGATAGGTATGAAATGAAAGATACTTAAAATATCTATAATATTCTAGAAGCAACATATCATGTTTGGTGGCTCTAGCTCTTATTATTTACCCAATTTGCTAAAAAAAAACAGTATGTCGATATCGATTTTTATCGATTGTTTGGAAACGGAGTAAGTTATCGATTATCGGAAACAAACTCGATCTGCGCGGGGACTAGGAGCATCTACATTTAAAAATTTCAAGTCTCTAGCTCTTATAGGTTCTGAGATCCTTTGGCTCATACATACGGACGGACGGACAGACAGACGGACATGGCTAGATCGACTCGGCTATTGATGCTGATCACGAACATATACACTCTATGGGGTCGGAGATGCTTCCTTCTGCCTGTTACATACATTTGGATTTTGCACAAATACAATATACTCTTATACCCATTTTTAATGGGTTCAGGGTATAACAAGAGGTTCTAGTCGGGAGCTCCCGACTAGGGGATACCCTGAACCCTCTTCTTCAAACATCAAATGCATATATATATTATAATTTAGAAGCTATATGTCAAGTTTGGTGACTCTAGCATTTATTATTAACAAAAATTGCCCAAAAAACAGGATATGGATATCGATTCTTATCGATTGCTTGGAAACGGAGTAAGTCGGAAACAAACTCGATCTGCGCATACACTAGGAGCACCTACATCTAAAATTTCATGTCTCTAGCTATTATAGGTTCTGAGATCCTCGCGTTCATCCATACGGACGGACGGACAGACAGACGGACATGGCTAGATCGACTCGGCTATTGATGCTGATCAAGAATAAATATACTTTATGGGGTCGGAAATGCTTCCTTCTGCCTGTTACATACATTTGGATTTTGCACAAATACAATATACCCTTATACCCAGGGTATAAGCATTCAAGTCTCTAGATATTGTAATTTCCAAAACCAACAGATATATATAGACTTGAACAAATCGATTCAAATGGTCGTACTGATCAAGAATATATACTTTTTGGGGTCGTAGATACATTCTTCTACCTGTTACAGAGAGAATGAGAGAGAATCTTTAGATATATATGTATATGTAAGTGCAGTATCTGTATCATTAAATCCCTTTATTTGGGGAAATCCCAAAAATTTCTTTACTTGGAAAAATTCCCAAAAATTTTCTTTATTTGGGGAAGATTGTGGGAAGGGAATTTTCTGTCACAATTTCGTCCAGCATAAGAGAGGCATTTCTTCACAATTCAAATTGTCAAACTGCCCGTTTAAGAGGGATGTCGGTTAGAAGAGTTGTCGCTGTAGTGTCCAAACGTAATTATTCCTCTATGAACACATTTATTTTGGTGAATAACTCAATTTTGTATCCAAAATATTCGGTTAGGGTATGTAAGGTTGAGCCCAAACTGGCAAGCCGAGCAACTTTGTACCTGACTAATGAAGACATTCCATACTGATGGCTTATGCTCGATGAAGTATTCAACTATAAAACGAAAAAAAAGAAAAAAGCCTAAACCGGTCCTTTCAAACTTTATTTTAGACCGTCGTCGTATGTATGTATGTATGTAGCAAAACTTAAGCTTTTGTGCTTGTGTCTGTGCACAATCATCAGCTTGCGTGTTGTGTATATGTGTGTGCCTGTTTATGTGTGTGTGTGCGTGCGTATACATATAATATCACCCAATAAACATGAACTGAAAACTGTGTGACACGTGCTGGTTGATTGCAAACAGAGCTACGGCTTAAATTGAAGTTAATAAATAAATAAATAATAAATAATAATATAATAAAATTATATGAATACTATCACTATAAAAAAAAAAAAAAATATATATATATATATATATATATATATTTATATATACTATTTATATTATATACTATTTATATAAAATTGTGTCTATGACTCAATTTAATCAAGATCTTCTTTACACGAAATAAGATTAAGAAACGTATGTATTAAAATTTTGATTTAGAGCACACATTATAAACTTAATATACACGCGGAAAGTATTTTAAGAACAATTTTTATCGGGCAAGAAGGGGTTAAGGTTGCTCTTACGAAGAGGAGAGGACAGAAAGAGATGTGTGTGTGTATGTATGAGTGTGTGTGTGTGTGTGTGTGTGTGTGTGCGGCGTACTCTCTTTCGAGTTTGTATGTTTGTGAATGGGTTCAATACATCTGAAGTCGATCTAGTTATTTATGTGGCGGGCAAAAGGTAAAACAGGTTGCATAGGAGGAGTTTCAACGGAAAATAAAACAAAATGGCGAAAATGTTCAATCACTCACAAACCCAGCATTTTAGCCCAACAAATCAGTTTACATATACATATGTACACCATTTTTTCATCCGATTAACTTCAAATTAACTTTTAAAATTTGTTGGTACAGGTTTTTAATTATCATAACCATGTCATAATAAGATACAAATTCAAACTTTGCCTTAGACAGTTCCAATTCCTGGAATTCAAACCCGATTCTAACAAAAGGTGTCGATAAGAAATTTTTTCCTTGTGAGCAAAGCAAATTTTTTAAGTACAAAATTTGGAAAAATTATTTATTCAAACCCATTTATTGTCGTTGTCGTGCAGCAGTTGGCAACTACAAAAAACACAAATTAAAATGGATTTTAAAAATATATTTTACATAGTTCTATTATTTCCATGTCCAGTTATGAAAAACCTTCAAAATTTGTCTACTTATGGTCTTTTTTAAATCTTTCACTGTTAATTCTTTCGTTAACTAATAATAATTTTAATTACAACTACTCTGTTTCATTATCTACTTAAATAAAAAAAAAAAACAACGACTAGGAAATACCCTTTGCCTTCTTCTGCCAATTATATTAAAAAAATTCACAACATATATGTACATATACAGAAATTGTGGATCATGATGAAACAGAGTATCGATATCGATTCTTATCGATTGCTGGGAAACGGCGAAATTTCTCAATTATCAGAAAGAAGCACTGCGCGGACAGTAACAGCAAATGCGTTCAAATTCCAGTATTTAGCTCTTATAGGTTCTGGGATCGACTTGATCATAAATACGGCTGCATCGACTCTGCTATTGATAGTGATCAACAATAGATGTACGAAGAGTTTATGCTGCCAGTTATATACATTTGTTCCATACCATTATACTAGGTATAATTAATCAGTTTGTTGTTTAGATACTGCAATCGACTTTGAACGCATTTTACTTACAAAAGTGCGTCAGGTGTTATGTTATGACTGCACTACGCCAATTAACAGCTGTTGTTGACTGCGTTACGCCCTAGAGCCGCATTCGAGACTAATCGATAATTCAAATAATCGATCACGCGCAGCAGTGAAAGCCAAGCTTCGTTTTCTCCATATGGCAATGCAATTTCGATAAGCTGGCAGGACGCTGTGTTGACAGAGTTGACAGCGCGCGTCAGTGAACAGTGACCTGTCTGTTTAAACTTACGCGGCAAATTCAAATTTGGCATCTCGAGCAGTGGTGTGGTTTTAACATGCATTGATTTGATCGCAAGTCGAAATTTATTCTTAGGCAACTAATATTAATAACAATACTTATTAATTAACAGATTGAGCATAGTTGGCTTATAAACAATGTATATGTCAGTTGTACATCAAATCTAGGATCACTAATGGAAATAACGAAAATAAAACAAAAATAAATAACAGTAGAAATTTGAAAAAAGCGTACTATTATTTAAATGATTGGACAAAGTTTATTATTATTATTCTGTCAGTTGAGAAAAAACGTGGCTAGGTTGAAACAAAGCGGTAGCCGACAGAACAGATAAATGATTACAAAAAAAGGTCAACATTAGAGGATTAGTTTTTCTTCTCCTCTTCCTTTTCAACCTCGGGATATTCCAGCTTCACACCAGGCTCGCAGGTGAAGATAGGACAGCAGAAGGGAAATGGCGCCGTCTTGTTGGTCTTCTCGGTATCCAGCTTACACTTATCGTTGGCTAGCGACAACGGCAAGGGACCGCAGTCTTCTACAAGTTCCAAGAGCCTGTATATACATACATCGTTGTATAGATATTGAATTTAAATAAAATTATTTATTTATGATCTTACTTTGAGGGATTTTCTTCGTTTTGAACGCAAGTCGAACGGCCACAGAATGGCGTTAATTCCCACGTCTTGCCGGGCTCTACTGTAGCACAACGAGTCGATGCGAAACACATTCCAGGAAAATCTTTAGAAATATCAATTATTTTAATATAGATTTAAAAAAAAAATGAAAATTTATTTATAATTTAATAAGAAATTTATATAAATGCAAAAAGTTTTGTATCACAAGATTTTAAAAGAACGCAACATGTTTTTTATCTATATAATCTGTCTATACAATATTAATGGTTAATTTTTAGAGGGGGCATTATACAAACCGATTTTGATTGCTTATTTTTTGCTTTAAAAATTTCACAATATTATCATAAAACCTATTTTATTACTTACAATGTCTGTGACTCGATGCGCAAAAATACAAAAAAACGTATACTCAACTAAGAATCTACGTCCCGCGTGCCCATTCTCTTGGTTGGCATTGATTTAAAGAGGTAAATCACATTGTAATTTGTATGTAGGTTGTACTCGAATGCTTTCGAAACAGCTCAAGCGAATACAAATTTGTTGAATGTGACTGGGGCAGTGCCATAAACTGGCTTTCGGTTTCGCACAGCTCTTATACACATATAAATTAAAATATACATATATATATAAATATATATATATAGTATATATATAGTTGCCACGACTGCATTATGTTTAAATATCAACCGTTACTTAATCAAAAGTCAAACTGTCTTATGCTCTAATTCATATCGACAGCTTTTGATCTGAAAAAAAAGGAAAGGATTTCATAAATCCGAAACCCGTGACTCACCTCTGAGTACATCGGCCGGAATGAGTCGTTTGTAGATTTTGATTTCACCATCTTTCTGCGCATCATCTGCTGCTGCGGCTGACTTTTCGGCGGCCATAGCAATAGCAGGGACCAGCAGAAAGGCCAGCGCGAAGCCAGCTAAAATTGAAGTAAACTTAATCATTTCCCTCGTTCTTTTTTTTTAACGACCGACAACAACACTAGAAAATGAAGTTCAGATCGACGATTCCGAACGCCGACCAGAAACAAGTCTGCTTCAACCGAAAGTGAACAACGAATTGAAACTACCGGACCAAGTGTTACCACTATTTATAGGCGAAATCATGCTTGTGGATTTTCGAGTTTTTGTTTTTTTTTTATATATATATATATATATTTTTTTTTTTTTTTTTTGTAGTTATGACTTGCCGCTCGGTCTGTGGCTGACAAAACGGAGCTTTGTCGACTTGGATGTTGACGTCGATATTAGCGTATGTTACCAGTTACACATACACATACATATACATTTGTATGTTTATAAGACTATGTATGTATGTTTAGCTAGATGTGTATGTGCTCGCGTATACATTGCATTAAAAATTTACTGTTGCTTATGAAAGGTATTTCTCAAAGTTGACATATGTGCGTTTTGTGTGTGTGTGTGTGTGCGTATGTGATACATAACATGCACATGTATGCACTTACGCATGCAAAAAGAGCATTAGCTGAGCCGGTCCTGAAGTCATGTCACCAAATTTGGTACATCTACTGTTAAATACAACCGATTCAGTTGGAAATAAAATTGAATATACAAAAAATCGAAACATATATCCTGCCTATCCTCTTCTCGCAAAGCATCGTTATTCGGTGTATCACTTTACATTTTTTTAAGTAATTAAAAAGTTAATTCGGAAAAAATATGCTTGGTTTAGTTAGTCTCCAAATTAGACATGGTTATGCAGACAGAATGCCAAAGCCCTCTAAAGATCCCGAATAGAATTTTTACAGCAGTTACCTTATGTGCTCGCTGGAAAATTTGGTGGAAAGCCATCTGATATAAATATCTTTTCGAAGAATCGTTTGGGAAGAAACGGGCGCGGAAAGCTTGACTTGGGCAAAATCAGGTAAGCCTATTTAAATACTCTTGGGGTGATATAAATAAAAATATGTGGTTGAATGAAGTTGTCCATGGAAATTGTTATCGGATTGTTTTAGTCAATATTTACAATTAGATCATTATTAAGCTGGTCCGAGGTCAAGGACAATTAGTAGATATTTACAATTATAAATATACTCATGCGTAATTTACTATTTAGTGCATCCTAGAGAACGGTAACCGCTGAAAAGCTGCAGAAAAATTTTATAAATCTATATTAGTAATATATTTGAATTTATTTACCCTCCACTACTAAATTAAACACTCGAAAACTTTACAAATTTTTTAAAATTTGAATTTGTAAGTCTCTTTTGGGTTTAAATAGATTATTCATAAAAAACTGCAACAGCTAGTCCGGGCGATTGAAAATGTATTTTTCAACTATAATCATACCGTCAATTTTAGTGGCAAAATGAGGAGAACAGCAGAAACAATGGGTGGGGCAAGCAGCCAGCGTGGCCAAATCTGGAAAAAATACTGTTTTCCACAGACAACAAAATCGAAAGTTTAGACAAATTTTCAAAATGTACTGTGACTAGAATAAAATTGATATTATTGACAAAAAGGAAAATGTATTACATTTAATTCTTAGCTCAACAGATATATTTGGTTTTAGAAACTTTTAAATTTTCCGACCGATAGTCAAATCAACGATATATTGGTGACAAATGGAAACTATCGATAACAATTTAGCTCCAATCGTTACACGTCAATTTTTAGTCACAAAATTTGTGTGAAAATCTAGAATCTATTTATTTGAGCAGAACACAAAAGAGAAAATGGGATTGACAATATCTAGTTTACTAACGCGACTATTTGGCAAAAAACAAATGCGCATTCTAATGGGTAGGTCGAATGCAGTTTGATTATTTTCAGACGGCGGCCCGTAGCGGCTAGCCACGCCAATACGTAATGAGAATACACCTCCTTTAATTTGACGGTAAAGTTCCAGCCACGCAGCCATATACATATGTATATGCAGCCATATATATATATGTATGTACATAGGGAAACACTCTTGTATACTCAAAGCATATTATTTACACGTACATATATACATACATACGTTCACGTTGAGCATGAAGTAATATGTTTTTGTGTTGTCTCGTGCACAGTTGGCCTGGACGCTGCCGGAAAGACAACCATTCTGTACAAATTGAAACTGGGCGAAATCGTAACGACCATTCCAACTATCGGATTTAATGTGGAAACCGTGGAGTACAAAAATATATGTTTCACCGTTTGGGATGTCGGCGGCCAGGACAAAATTCGCCCGCTCTGGCGTCACTATTTCCAAAATACACAAGGCCTAATTTTTGTCGTCGACTCGAACGATCGCGATCGGATAACCGAGGCCGAAAAAGAACTCCAAAACATGGTTAATATATTTTCTTCCTATATACGTGCAATGTTTAAATTTAGTTGTATCGTTATCTTACTCTATAGCTTCAGGAAGATGAGCTAAGGGACGCCGTGCTCTTGGTTTTTGCCAACAAACAGGATCTACCGAATGCTATGAGTGCTGCCGAACTAACTGACAAGTTGCACCTGAATCAATTGAGAAACCGCCACGTAAGCTATTCCCTTTCTCCTTCTCTCACACGACTGTTGGCTAATTTGATCCTTGCAAATATTTATTCAGTGGTTTATTCAGTCAACTTGCGCAACCCAGGGACACGGTTTATATGAGGGACTAGATTGGCTGTCAGCTGAATTGGCCAAAAAATGATCTGTAATATTTTCCAATCAAGCGCTAAGATTTTGTTTTGTTCTCAACATGAAAACAATTACTATTGAATAGATTCTTAATAAATATGTATGTGTATGATAAGCCAAGATCTTTAAACATGTTTGCAATTGAAAAACACAAAAAAAAAAAAAAACAATTATAATTAAGAATGGATTTAAACACAGGTTCGTTTTATAAATGTATATAACATTTTGTAATCAACAACTTTAAATTATGCATACAAACAAAAAACTATACAAAACGCGCAGCAATCAAAAGATAAATGTATGTACAATGTGTGCGTGGTTTGTTTGTGATTAACAAATCATTTCAGCATTAAAATACATAAAGATAAATATCAATTATTTGCTAATACAACTTGCTAACTGGCTGCGTTAAACTCAACAAAAAGAGGTGTTTAAATGGAGGTAACTTAGGCGACACACAAAATATGCCAAATAATAAAATATAAAATGTCTGCATAGTAAGTACAGGAAAATTGATAATTGGCTGCTTTTCAAAGTCACTGGAACATTGGAATGCATTTGTATGGACAGTCATATACAAATGTGCTAAATATAAGTCGGTCTGCTTGAATTATGTATATATATACACATTGTACATACTGCGATCGATGTGTGACGCAAGGATTTTAACAACTGCATTATTAGCATTTCTCCATTAATACTTATCATATACGTAGTCAAGCATTTTGCAATGCAAGCAATAATACTAAGCTATTCCATGAAACTTTCAAGTGTGCGTCAGCCCGTGACATGGCCAAATGGGTGCAGTTGCTCAACATGGCAATAATGATTGGTGCTTAGAGGTCGATATCCAGCGCATCCGGTGCCAACAGCATGGGCTCGCTATGGCTCTCGTCTACCAACGAGGTAAGCGAGTCATTTATCATGACCGAGGATAGGTCCACAGACTGGTGCTGATCATCGTCGACTGCATGCGATTGCTGCGATGCAGACAGAAGCGGATCGTGTCCAGAGCTATCGCAATCGTTTAACATGTCAAATGCTGCATTTTGTTCGTTTCTTCTATGCTGATGCAGCTGTCGTCTCGTGTGCTGACAATTATCCGACGAGGCACAGCAGCTGCTGCTATCAGCACGGCGACAGTCGCGCTGCAAATCATCGCCCAGGTGAACACCACCACCTGCTGTCGTGGCGCAGTAAATGGCCGCGTCTGAGCCACTTTTATGTCCGTAACTATTGCCTATCGGCGAGTGCGGCGCGGACAGCAAATGGCTGCTGTGCGAGGAGAGCATCGGATCGCCGCCCTGCACCGGATGCTTGCAGTCCTCCATCAGCTCGTCAATTTGATTCAGGCTCATGCCAGGATCGCTGTTCATCACCGGCAGCTGTGGAAACTATTGGTTTTCATTTAGTTTAATCGACACTCGTGAATTTCGATACTCCAAACTTGCCTTGTTCTCGCCGACATCCTCCAGAAGCGAGGCACTGTGCCGGCTTTGTGCTACGGATGCCGAAAGTGTTGGGCTCGGGCACTTCAGATACGAATTGGCTGGCGTGGGCGCAGATACGGAGGTCAGATTGAAATCGGAGAGGTGTATGCCATGCGATTTGGCCTGCATTTCCAATTCCTGCGAGCAAAAGGCACCACATTTAATCAGAAATTTAATCAGATGCAAAGGATCAACTGCCTCTACCCGAATGCGAGATATCAGCTTTCTGTTCTGCAGCTCCATTTGGCGTTGTCGGCTTTCGTTTTGTCTCAGGCGCGACACTTCGTGTTTTAAGCATTTGATATAATCCACGGAAGATTTCAAAATGGTGCCCTTATTGGGTCGGATGTCGCGCACAACCTCATAGAAGGCTTCGCTGCCCTTGGGCAGCAAAGTGCCCAGCTCCTTGATTCTATCATTAATATTAAAGCGTCGCCGTCGCTCAACTGAAAAGGAAAAGTTAAAGTCGATTAAGCGCGTTTTAGTCTTATATTAATCATTTTACTCACTCATATTGTGATTGTCCTTCTTCTGACGATCCTTGGCCAATGCATTGATTTCGGCGTCAGTCAAATTTTGTGGCTCCTGCTTAATTGATAGCTCGGAGCCAAAGGTTTTGTCAAAATTAAATGAATCGTTCTGAAGTATGTCATCAAAGAGATCGTCTGCCTGCAAGCAAAATCAAGGGATGTGTTATGTTATTTGTTATAGATACTGTATTTTGAAAAGGGATTAACGAAATCAGGAAAGAGCAGCAGCTACAAATTGGTTGACTTTGACCTCCAGCATCACAAGTAATGCTTACAAAAGCCTCTTAATTCGATTTTAAAAAAATAAAATTTCTAATTTAAGGAGCTTGATGAAAAATGAATTTTTACTTCCCTCAGCAAAAGGCCAGACCTTTAATATATTGTAACAAGAGCAAGAGTTTGACAATTTCTTCTGCATTAATTTACATTTTACTATAATTCACTTTTTTGTCGCATTTATATACAAATATATCAACCGAATGGTAAAAATTGGAGTTAAACTTTTTTAATTTTCAATTTAAAAGTTTATGTTCTACGAAACTTGTTTAAACCAGCCCAAAGTTGGGAAACTGAGCTTTAAACTATTTTATTGCCTTTTCATAATGTTAACCGATTTTTCTCGATAGACTTGCTTTGCACTTTTCAGAAATTTCGCCCACAAGAAGCGATCAAATTAAAGATTCTCGATCTGTAGAAACGTATATTCTAGAGACTACAGCTCAAAATTTGTGATGCTAGCTTTAAGGCCTAAAAGACAGGATACTGATATCGATTTTTATATACACCTATATAGTTCGGAAACTGAGCAAGTTGTCGGTTATCGACAAAAACGTTCGTTATACGCGAGCACTGAAAGGACCTAGGCTCAAGATTTCAAGTCTCTAGCAATTTGAGGGAATAACTTTTACATGTTTCCGATCCCGATCGGGAATACATTTATGATATGGGACTTGATACCCTATTTATTTCCCTTTGCCCTTTGATAATGATGCAAGCGAATCTTTTCGGACTAGACTCTCAAACAGCTTCCCATCAATACCAAAGGCGTCACATAATCATAAAATAAAACTTTTGCTTCCCAGCACCAAAGGTTAGAACCGTCCGAAGGTTTGGCTTCCAATTTGATTTGTTAGTTATTTTATTTGTTTGTGTTTTTTTAGTGTACATACAGAATATAAGGCACACGATACTGTTGTTCAAGGTAGAATTTAATATGATTTTCGTTTAGCACAAATTCAGGTAATTGTGATTATTAAACAGTCGTGCTCTACTGATTATGAACCCCCTCCAAGCATTAATATCCCAAGTTGATTGCGTAAGTAATTGACACAACATGTAGATGAGGCCTTTGGAAATATGGTATATACCTTGCTTTTGGGCAGTAACTCAATTTCTTTGAACATAAATAGCATATTTTGGGCGCCGAATCGCAAAGAAAAGTTGTCAAGGCATGAGTATTCGGTCGTCCGACCCGCCGTGATTTTTTAATGCAGTCAAATAAACAAAATAATAATAAATCAAAAAAAGTCATAGTACTTATTTTCGAATGTGGCCGACTAGGAGATACCCTCAGTTGCCTTAGTTACATTTACCTATTTCTTTCATACTTGGAAGTGGAGACATCCCATCATCTTTGAGTTATGCTCAAAAATATTTCAAAATCGATTTTTCTAAATATGAATGACTAACGAATAATGACTAATGTATAATGAAAGATGGCTAATGACTAATGGCTAATGGCCAATTAATAATACCTATTGACTAATGAACAATGACTTAAGACTAATTTCATTGAAAGCGTTGTGGCTGTGTTTTCTTTGATAAAGGATCCCACATTAAAATTGTGTAACTGATAGAAAACCATAAAAGCTGGTAATGAATAAAATAATAATAAAGGTTAATTAAAATGTCTTCACTTACATCGCTGTCAAATGAGGGTAGCTGCAAGCAAAGAAAGAAAACAGGTTATGTGGGTTAATAAAATTGTATTTCTTTTAGGGTATACTCTAGATTTATATTTAATAGTAAACATTTTATGGTATCAACTTGTAATCGATCTGACCAAACGAGTCAGTCTCTTTATTATACCCTCACTTCTTGCCTATTTTGGATAAAAGGGGTATCATAATTATAAGAGCTAGAGACTTGATCTTGGTTACTTCAGATTATGTTTATTGGATTTTTGGCATTATAGACTTTTTATTGGGTACAAAAACCCTTTTTAAGTAAGATTGAAAAAAAAGGTCTAAAAGTCATCCAGAAAAACCATGAATTGACGAAAATTCTATGCTTGAAACTGGGTGAAAGGTATCTCCTCGTCGTTCACTCCCGACTCGAGCGCACACACACACACAAAGGTTATTGGGACATACGTGACAATTAGTGAGAGCAATGAAAGAGACAAGTATTACTGAATGTGCGTCGCGACGGGCGGGTCGGTTGTCTGCTCAATTTGATATGTACGTTACGAAACATTACGAATAAAGGCTTAAAAATCAATTAGGGTACTTTAGAGAAACAAATAAATAAATCGAATGCAATCGGTGTCGTTAAAAACTGCCTCATTTAAGTCAACATTAACCAGTCAATAAAGTTGACATTATCATAAAATGAATTTAACGCCCAGCAATAAGTACAATGTGCGTGCTTAAGGAATGATTGAGCTTACTAGAATGAACTGCCCCTATATTTTATTCTTGTACTTCAATTCGTAGATTCCTTATATTTACTATTATTATTTGGAAGTCTTTTTTCTTCTTTTTTATATGAAATTTCAATTCCGTCCATCGGCTGTTCCTGCGAAGCGTGCAGTGTGCCCAGAAAGTGAAAGGAAATTAAGGTCGCACTAAAGGATTTAACGAAAAAAAGCTCCAAGGCTGATTTTGATTTGATTTCGATTCAATATGGAGAACGTTTTATGTTTGCTATATTTCAGGCTTTAAATATATTGAAATTATAATAATTGCAAGCAATTTGTATGAAATGAAGGAATGGTGTTTAAGAAGAAACATACAGGAGGCTAGAAAGCAACTGAAAATGTTAAACATAGGAAGAAAATATTCTCAAAGCAATCAATTGTTATTAAGGCTTAGAAAAATAGATTTCAAACTTTCTGTCAGCATTTTGCGCTTTCGCCGCGGCTTAGTTGAGTTCCTAGCCAATTAAATTTAACAGTGGAAAGAATCCCACTATGTTAATTACAAGCGGTTAATAAATAGTTTTTATTTATAGATCAAAATGAAATTTATCTTCATATTTGATAATTAATAATGGTTTCATATAATTCTATAGCTTTATAGCTAAGCATTGAAATGATTTCAATTTGATTCTATTATTTATTCTATTCTCGACTCGTTTAATGTAAAACAGATACAAAGAAGAATAGTTAAAGTTTTCTCTGTGATTAATTGCCTCCTTCTATCTGTTACATACATACATAGGTATTTTCTATGAGAAGGGGCATAATGAATATTTTAAGTAAATCAGATACCAAATCAGGAGTCAGTTACACTATAAGCCATACCTTCTTTTATTACGATTTTAATTATATTTTGAGCCCAAGTACGCACATATACATACAAGCTCACAGAGATTAGTTAGTTTGTAATGACATAAATTCTGGCTCTCACACAAATATACATCTACTCATGTGTACATACATACATGCGTACACATAAATACATACGCGCTAGTGTGGAGCGTATAGTTTTGTCATACATGACGGCCTTAGCGATAATAAAAAAGAGAACCTAAATTGTGCACGTTATCTAAGCAACAGAAATCTTATTGTCATTACGTCTACACCCAGGCAAACAAAATAAATAACTTGTCAGTACATACATATGAATGTTTGCACAAGTGTGTGTGTTTGAGAACGTAAAAGAATAAGTATATTTATATGCATATGTAAGCAGTTCAGTTAAAAGTTTGCCGGTTGATTTGAAACCGATTCGAAAAGTCAACTTACCAAATTGTGAAATGCCCTTCATATGATTTCCCCTTGAACCACCAACATCAATAACTATACCCTATGTACTATATCCTTTGCGAGATTCCAAATCTGCTCGTCTTCGAATTTTCGAAGCAAGAAACCCTGGACCCAAACGATTAGAATAGCGTTTACCGTATTCGGTAAATGCCAATTTTGGATGGAGATCAAATTTAGGCCGCAACTTCGAATGAAAAAAGAATTTACAGCCCTTACAAAATGCCCTTTAGGTAATTTTTACAAAAACATAAATAAATGTAACCTGCATTTGGCAATATGTATATAAATCAAGCATTGGATACGAGCCCCATATAAATTATAGTCATCAGATTAATAATAACATATAAATTTATGTTATGTAGTAATGTCCTGGTAGTTATTGGCATAGTACTGTACTCACATACATATATGTGTGTAGATGTGTACGTAAATAATGTATTGAATATATATGAAAAAAATATGTGTATTATCAACAACAATTGCACAAATATTTGTTAATTATAATTAATTGTAAATATCGCCAGCAGCAAGTGCTGTCCGGTCTGTCGCATATTCGTTTACACTCGTTCATTCAGTAACCAGCCATATAAAAAAAAATATTCATACAAAAAAGTCAAATTAAAACAAGTTTCACGATCGGTTGCCAAGTTACCCACAAGTGTGCTTATATGTACATATGTATGTTTGCATGTATGTATGTATGTATGTATGCATGTGCATGTACAAGTGTATTCAAATATAATTAGTATGCCCAAAGTAAATTGTGTCGTATGTAATTACATACAAACATATTCTACATATGTATGGATATACATACATACATTCGACGAATACCCTGCCCACAATAACAAAGTTACCCACACACACACACACGCACACAAGTCAATAGAACATTTGTTGGCTCGAATTTAGAAGCTCGAATTAATATTAGTGTCAAGCGAGAGCAAAGACGTCTGCCCCACCCCCCCCCCCCCCCCCCCCCCCCCCCCCCCCCCCCCCCGTGAAGTGCACTGCAGTTTAGGTTTTTGTTACTCAGCTCTTGCGGAGAGTGAGTAGGACAGGAACATACCTTGGTATGCCTGCGTGATATAACGCTGAGTACCGGCATATTTATTCGTCGGCTTGTTCGCTCAATTCCCCTTTCGCTCCCTTTTGGTTTGCTCGGTGTCCTGGGCGTAGGAGAATCAGGCCTAGGACCAATCCTATAGGCAACTGGTGTCACCAGGCGACAACGCTTGCTGCGCCTCTCCGACAGACTGGCGGCCGATAACCAAGGTAGCACGTGCATTAGACCTCGATCTTTTTTTTTTTTAATTGTTATTACGTGCGTTTCTCGGTGTGAAGTCGTCACGGTCATTAAATTTCGGTGCTTTTGTAAATGTGTTAAGATCTGTTATCTGTATCAATCAGTATTTTCTTTGCATGAGAGTGCAATTTCGATCTGTTTATTTATCTGGCCTTAACACACAACTCACTTTTCCTTAAATATCCTTAAATTGTAGCCGTACAAACGAACCCACATCATTTTTTATATATGTTTTTTACACTGCCGCCAGTTTTGATTTGATTATGTAGATTAAATAGATAGGGGCATGCTTTGTTTAGCGCCTCCTTTTTTGTTTATCTTGAGCTATACAAAATTGATCGTAAATTTGTGAGATAAACAACCGCTTGAATGGAAATCAGAAAGATATTCCGCACACAAATTTTTCATAAGTACAAGCCATGACAACCTGCTTGATTGACTGTTTCAAGTCGTCAGGCCAATGGAAAAATACCGTTCATTATTTACATTCACCGCAGCGATCAATCGCCGCATTTCAAAAGCACAAATAAATCCCAAAGAAAAAATACCAGAAGACAGCTGTCTGACAAAAGCTGTTTTGCGTAGTGTGCAGTGTTGCCATTTTAGTTATTTTAGAGTAGTCAGCAAAAACGTAATGCGTTTTATGAAATTTCACCCGCAACTGTGGAAATTTGGCGAATAAGTTGCAACTGTTTTTTTTTTTAATTATATTAATTAAAATTTAAAATCATTATACAGCGAATTAAGCATTGAAAAAACGCAAAACATAGCGCAGAGGAATATCAGCCCAATGGCATAAATTACGTTGGTTAGAATTAGATTTGTTGATGTCAATTTTCGATGGAGATAAAACGTAGCCTGCTAGCCCTTTACACCAAAAAATATCTACGGCTTGTAATACAGAACCAGGCAATTATAATAATAAAATATTTCGCAAAGATTTCGAAAGTAAACGAAATAAAGTATGGAATATGGAAAAGTTAGGCTGACGAATCGAACTTTGTTCGAGAGAGAGCTGGTTCGAACCGTTAACCAAAAGTATTAAATGCCACTTACCTCTGAAGCACTTGTTGCCACAGAGCTTAGACTTGGCGACATTGGCGCAGACGTCGATTGCAGAGGACTCGCTGTGCTGGCCCCAGAAAAGTTGGAGCTGCGCATGGTATTTGGTATACCAGAGGTTCGAACCGAGTTTGAACTTAAAGCAGCCTTGCCGCCGTACAAGCTCTTGATTAGACCTGCGCTGCCATCCCCCGCACTCTGGATCCCTTCCATGCCATTGCCAAAAAAACTTGAATTGCAATTTCCGCCGCTGCCGGCTCCAAATGGGGACAAGAGCGCCGAATCGTCCGAATGCATTGTCTTTTTCCCAACACCCGGAGCATCGCCTCCGAAGCTATTCGGTCTTCGATTCACCTCGCTACTGCATTGCAGATTCCCAGTCGAGGCCGAGTTGTTGCCGGCTTTGCTCTGCAAAAATGCGTGGAATATAAGTGGAAACACTTTCACCTAATGCTGTTTTATATTCACCTCAAAATTTTGGCCCCAGACGGATGGCTTGAGCGATTCACTGAGATACTGTCGCACCTGATTCTTCTGCTTTTGAATGACGTGATACCGCGTCGGATTCTCAAGAACTGTGCTCACCTAGAAATCCAAACAATAATAGATCAATAGATGGCCCAATAAATGGGAATAGATAACGTTTTACCTGAAGCACCTGAGGCGGCACATCCACACCGATGCTCTGTAGAGGTACTTTGAGCGCCACAGGACTGGAGGCGGGTAGCCGTTCCTTTTGGCCCAGCTGCACGGATTGATTCAAGCTGGATGAACTGCCGCTGCGATTGCTATTCGCAACCTCAAAGTCAAAGCAGCTCGGCGGTAGGCCAAACGCATTTAGCATCGTCTGATCCTGGGCCTGCAGGATCTGCTGCTGCTGCTGTTGCTGTTGCTGCATCATCAGCTGCTGCTGTTCCTGCTGCTGCTGCTCGCGCTGCAGCTGGAGTTTCAGCTGTGTCCGAGACGTGGGCATCGCCGTCTTGAATGTGGGTCTAAATGGAAACGAAGAAGTTACAATATGTAGTGGGTCTAAATGGAAACGAAGAAGGAACAATATGTAATATGTATGTAGTATGTAGTATGTAGTATGTATTATGCATTATGCATTATGCATTATGTATTATGTATTATGTATTATGTACTATGTACTATGTACTATGTACTATGTACTATGTACTATGTACTATGTACTATGTACTATGTACTATGTACTATGTACTATGTACTATGTACTATGTATTATGTATTATGTATTATGTATTATGTATTATGTATTATGTATTATGTATTATGTATTATGTATTATGTATTATGTATTATGTATTATGTATTATGTATTATGTATTATGTATTATGTATTATGTATTATGTATTATGTATTATGTATTATGTATTATGTATTATGTATTATGTATTATGTATTATGTATTATGTATTATGTATTATGTATTATGTATTATGTATTATGTATTATGTATTATGTATTATGTATTATGTATTATGTATTATGTATTATGTATTATGTAGTATGTAGTATGTAGTATGTAGTATGTAGTATGTAGTATGTAGTATGTAGTATGTAGTATGTAGTATGTAGTATGTAGTATGTAGTATGTAGTATGTAGTATGTAGTATGTAGTATGTAGTATGTAGTATGTAGTATGTAGTATGTAGTATGTAGTATGTAGTATGTAGTATGTAGTATGTAGTATGTAGTATGTAGTATGTAGTATGTAGTATGTAGTATGTAGTATGTAGTATGTAGTATGTAGTATGTAGTATGTAGTATGTAGTATGTAGTATGTAGTATGTAGTATGTAGTATGTAGTATGTAGTATGTAGTATGTAGTATGTAGTATGTAGTATGTAGTATGTAGTATGTAGTATGTAGTATGTAGTATGTAGTATGTAGTATGTAGTATGTAGTATGTAGTATGTAGTATGTAGTATGTAGTATGTAGTATGTAGTATGTAGTATGTAGTATGTAGTATGTAGTATGTAGTATGTAGTATGTAGTATGTAGTATGTAGTATGTAGTATGTAGTAAGTAGTATGTAACATAGTATGTATCAATCAAGGCAAACGCATGTCATTCAAATTGGTTTAAATAAAAACTTGTCTTGAGGTAAGGAGGAAGGATTACCTACCCACCCGTCACTGGAGGCAGACCCATGACGCGGCTTTCTCTGGTTTCACTAACAGTAATATCACCCAAATCTACAATGCTTGGATCCATTTCAAGTATCATTTCCAAATCTTTATCTATGCCAACGGTTACTCGAATGTTTGTGGTACTAATTGGCTTCTGGTTAGAGGACGGCCTTTTATCGTCAAGCTCATCGAGTTCCATCAAAGTAGACGGTTCCACTCCGACTTCAATGTCTGCAATTAATGGGTTATATTGTTGGCCTCGCGGTGCCTGTGCCAGCTGCTGTTCTTGCTCTGGGTAGCCATTTGGGTCCATTTGGATCGGAGACATTTGCAATGTTTGGACACGCCTCAAGAACTCTTGGAACTCCTGTAGTCGCTCCTCCGATAGAGGCGAAATCGGCGCCGTTTGCTTCATAGCTTCTACGTTCCGTATCTCCGGACTCTCCAACATGTGACTCTCCAACTCGGAATTATTAGGCGATTGACCAACACTAAATCCATCTTGCGGTGCATTATTTTTAACTGGAATCTTATTGGCCGCCTTCTTACCCCAATAGGAAAACATGTTTGTGAAATTGTATATCGGATTTAAGTGTTCCGTTGCTTAATTTCAATAAATATTCAATACAACATCAAGAGGCCTTGATCTTCTGTATGCAAGGCGAAATATGAATGCGGAAAAACTGATCTTTCAGCGAGAGAGAATTGTTGAATGCGAGCCTGTATGTAATGTGCATATAGATATATATTTGTGTATATGCCTGCATAGATACAGATACACCCGTGTACATATATTGATCAACACACATACTTATATTAAAATGGGTGACTATTTGAATCGTTGCTCAAATGGATTCAAATGACTCCTTTTCCTATTTACAAAATCATTTCTCAAAGACGATATCCAAATTGGAAAGGATTTTATGTATTCAAAATTATCAGTAAAGAAAGTCTAAATAATAGCACTTGCCAAAAGTATTTGCTTTTTATCGACCCTGTATTTTACTGTATGTTTGTAAACATATATGAACATTATGTATTTTTATGCCCACAGTATGCGCCTGTATTTGTGATCTACCATATTGGCCGTAGTACAGACTTGCGCCTTGTGCAAAATTCTCTCTTCGACTCAGCTGACCGTTTCTCTTAAACCACACGAGCAGATTTTCGAATATAAAAGAGAATATAAGAGACCAGAATTAAACATATGTGTGAGAAGACTGTGAAAAGCATATTAAGGTTATACTCCTTCATATCCACGTCATGAAGTTACGAAAAATTAGTTTACGACCAATTTGAAACTGGCAATCCACGAAAATGGACATCTTCAGCAGTTTGGAGCTTATAACTCACAAATATACAATTAGACTGCTCATGACATCCTCCAATATACTAAATTCGATATCCCTTTCTTTTCTTATACCCATGTAGAGCACCACGAAATGTGTGACAGCTCCGACCCCATAAAGTCGACAAATCCTTGATCAGCAACAGCAGCCGAGTAGATATATATATATACATATATATTATTTCAAACTATCTGTTACGCTCAGTCAACCTTCGGGACAAACTATTTTATTGATCTAATTTAGTACATATTTTTCGTTAATTTCTTACTTTTTTCAGTATTTTATTTATTAGTATTTTTATTTGTTACACGGTAAACAATACGTCGATTTCGTGAGAAGCTGCTAAAACTGTATAGCCAGTGTTGGGGTGAGAGTGGAGCTTCGTATGATTCTCGGAATTTTCTAATTAACCGATTTTTTTTCTTCAACATTTCCCTTTAGAGTTCTACCAAAAAGTTATTTAGGGTATCTCAAAAATAATTAACATATAAAAATGCACTTATGCAAGCTTATACATACACACGTGTATGTATATATGTATATATATATATGTGTGTTTATTCATTTGGAACATTAAACGAATTTCGAGTAAAGCTCTATTATCAATGGCCCATCGCTCCTTCTAAATTGGCAACGCTAAATTTCACACATTCGTCATAAATAATAAATCTTCGTATCTACGTACATATTTATGTAGATCATTTTTATATGTACCCATGAACATACGTAATATACGCACATACATGTACATTGGTAGGTATTGATTTCGGTATTAGGGCCATTTATATTATGCGACTTTTTTAAAGAAAAATAAAAGACGTTAACCTCTCATTACATACACACAGATACATACATATGAATGTGAATATATACATGTATGTTTGAAAGCAAGCATACAAATATAAATCCCGATAAGATAATAAAAAGAGTGCTAATCATGCGGAAAATATAAACGTCGTCGTATACATACGCTTGCATGTGCAGGTATGTACATAGATACATATGTACGTACATTTGTATTATTGAATGCTAAAGCGTGCCTGCATATGTATGTGCACACTTATAAATGTGGACATTGATATACATACATACATGCATGTACAACTCCATGTAGACATGTTACTAGTACTTACATTTCGTCGGTTCGTAGAGAGCGCGTAGACTTCAACTCATAGAACTCGACATTCTCCGTATTGCCTCCTAACGTCACATTGGGCAAATAATCCATATTTGAGTCGCTATCGTTGAGTAAATTTAAGTTTAAATCAAACTCCAAGTCAAAGCCCAGGTCAATGCCGGATTCCGCCATGTCTGGGACGGAACGATAACAGACAAAGGGATTGCTTGTATTAAAACAAAACACAGTCAAAACTGTTACTCGTTTAATTAAAATCAGTTATCAAATGTGATTGAATCTAATTGGATACGTTTCCACATTTTTGCACAAGTTTACACGCGTCTTAGAGACTTCAGGCAGATCCACGAGAGTAACTAGTATTCGATCGACATATAACTCTCAATTTATTGCTGGTAGGCACCGAGAGAGAGCGTGTTGAATTTTGTTTAATTGAGAGCAGCACTATAAATACAAATGTATATCAGTGTTGATTTTTGGTTGATCGATAACGATTTAAAAAATAAAAAAAAAACAACTATTTAAATAAAAATGCTGAACGGCTTCTAATATTTGTAGATAAACCATATACCATCTTTATTCGTCTTTTAAAAATAATCGACTAGCGGAAAACCGCACAAATTCTAAACAAAGCGCAACAACTATCGAAATTGCAATGCATACTGTCGATAGCATTTATATCGAACAGCAGCAGTGGTTAATATCGTTGGCTCTGCCGATAAACATCTTAAAGATAGAACAAATTAAATAATTAAAAAATTTGTCATTCGAAGTGCAATTTGTAATAATATTAATGTCATTGTGAGTTGGATATTTCGGTTGCGCATATACTCACGTCGATAAGGAGTTGCGGTTGCAGCTTGCTTCGTTTTGTACGTCTTGCATACAGACAAACGTGTACATACTAGCATACATACATACATATTCGTATTTGCGTTTGTGTAACTTTTGTTTGTCGCTGAATACATACATACATAAATATTTCTCTTGTCTAAAATTTGTCACTGAAATTCCAACAAATATATTTGATATAGATAGATTTGCATGTGCAGCAACGGTTTTAAATTATATTAAATTTTCTAGTTCTTGGCTGCTTTGCGACTTGTACATACATATGCGAGTTTTTAATTAATTTTTTTTGTATGTACCATACAATAAATACGCATATATTTATTTGCGCATACATATCTATCACTTGATTTAAAGTATTTGCGTAGTAAATACCTTTTACATATACATAAATATATATGTAATATATATGTAATCATATCTATCACTTGATTTAAAGTATTTGCGTAGTAAATACTTTTTACATATACATAAATAATAAATTCTTTTAAACGCAGCCCAAGTGACCAGTCGGCAAAATGGACAAAAAGATCTCCTCTACATCGCAGCCACGCATTTTGAAGAAGAAGCATTTCAGAGTAAAACATCAAAAAGTAAAGCTATTCCGTGCGAATGAGCCGATTCTTAGCGTATTTATGTGGGGCATTAATCATACCGTAAGTGTGTCGAAAATGATGCACATTTATTAATAACTCCAACCAATTTTCAGATAAACGAATTAAGTCATGTCAACATTCCTGTAATGTTGCTGCCAGACGATTTTCGAGCGTACTCAAAAATCAAAGTCGATAACCATTTGTTTAACAAGTATGACGAATTGGCTTGAATTTATGTATAACTATTTTCTCATTTTCGAATTCGAATTTTCTATTACTTAGAGAGAATATGCCGTCGCATTTTAAGGTTAAAGAATACTGTCCCCTGGTGTTTCGCAATTTACGTGAGCGATTCGGCGTTGATGATGTCGACTACCGCGAGTCCTTGACCAGGTCGCAGCCATTGGGCATCGACTCATCGGGCAAGTCGGGTGCACAATTTTATCAGAGCTACGATAAATTCTTTATAATTAAGAGTCTGACATCCGAGGAAATTGAACGCATGCATGCCTTTCTCAAGCATTATCATCCAGTGAGTCAAAGCACTTAAATATTTATTTAAATAACGTAAATGTCATATCATATTTTCTCAGTACGTTGTCGAGCGCCATGGAAAAACCCTGTTGCCTCAATACCTGGGCATGTACCGGATTACTGTGGAGAGCGTGCAGTATTATTTTGTTGTAATGCGAAATGTTTTCAGCTCCCAGTTGACCATACATAAGTATGATTGAATTTTGATATGTGTGTAAAAATTATTCATATATATTTCATTAATTTATTCTGTAGGAAATTTGATTTGAAAGGCAGCACTGTGGATCGCGAGGCTTCAGAGAAAGAGCTTGAAAAACTTTTGCCCACATACAAGGACAACGACTTTATAAAGCAAAAGGTCAAATTGGAGATCGGAGAAGAACCCAAGAAAAAATTGCTGGATACTCTAAACAATGATGTTGATGTAAGTAACAAACAACACTTATTCTTTGTTATGAATGTAGGACTCTAAACTGTTGAAAAAAAAAACGCTAAACCGCGCGCCTAGAATATTAAAAAGTTGGTGGAAAACAGTTATGTCCGAATATTTTACCATCAGATCCATCAGCTCGGACTCAAACATATTTTCAAAAATATTGAAAATTAATTTAAGGCGTGCACAATATTCTTAACTAATTCCGAACGACCCTTAACAAATGTTCAAAGTCCGAATTGTAAGAGAATGAATACTTGTTAGAGTTCTCCAACCAATTATAAGTAAGGAATATAAACATAAAGTATTAAGAAAAATAAAAAAAAATAAACGCTAGTAATAAATATTAGAGATGCATTTAACGTTAACTTTAACATACTCGAACAGCTCCTAACCAAGTTGCATATAATGGACTACTCTTTACTGGTTGGTATACACGATTGTGTGCGCGCCGAAGAGGAGGCTCTTCAAGGAGACAGTGCCCAGGCTACAGGACGCAGCGAGAACAGTGAGAGCGAAGAATGCGATAGTGGTGAACGGTAAACTGATCTAAATTATATTAGGTGCAATATATTAATATGAAAACTATTTAAAAGCTGGACGTATAACACACCACCTGATTCCCCCAGAGGTGCACAATA